ATATCATATCCTATTGTTAAGTGAAAATCTGTATCACTTGTAATATTTTGTTTGAATTCTAATTTGTACTTTCTTAAAAAATAAAAGATATACTAGCTTGGTGTGATGCATGTAAGCAATTCCAGCACCAGGGAGACAGACGCAGGAGGTTCCCTTTGAGTTCAAGACCAGCCTGGTCTACAAAATGAGCTCAACATTAGTTTGTACTGAATAGTGAGAAGACCCTGTCTCAAAATTTGCCTCACTACCCCTCAAAAAAAGCTTTTGGTAATCTAAACAACTAAGTTGAAGAAAACACTATGCACTATTAACAATAACATCGAATTTGTATCATTTTTTCAATGAAGTTCTATAACATTTGTTTTTTATTATTTTTATTATTTTTATTATTTTGAATGCTCTTTTAAAAACATTTAAATAGGGCCAGCCATATAGCTCAGTGGATTAAAGTGCTTAGAAGCAGGTGCCAAAGGTTTGATTCCAGGCCTACTGTGCCACCCCTTCCCCCAGGGAACACTGAGATGGCAGTTGAGACTGTGGCGCATTTCTGCAATCCCAGTGCTTGGGAAGCTGAAAACAGGAGGATCACTATGAGTCTGATCAACTCAGTGAGACCCTGTAGATTCTGTACTAAATGCAAAAAAAATGAAAAGAGGAAAAATAAAAGTTATCATATAAACAGCAAGCAACCATGAAAAAATCAATCCAGGCCCCACAAGACAAAGCAAAAATAGTAACATAATAATTAGTGAGGTCATTCAGAAAGCTTAAGACAGCACCAGTACCATAAAAAATTCTTCACAAAAATAATAGCAAAAACCTTTCCATGCACTGATGAGCAATTAGACATACAATAAAGGAAGCATATAAAACTCTAAACAACCATAATGAAAATAGATGTATACCCAGACATAAAATAACCAAAATCCCAGAAATTAAACACAAGAACAGACTATTAAAAGCTGTTAGAGAACAAAACAATCACCTATGTGGGAAAGCACATGAGACTCACAGAAGACAACTCACCACTATCTCTCTACTTAAGAAAAGCTGGCAGTGAAATATTTCCAGCCATGAAAGAAAACAACTTCCTCTCCAGATTAATACCCTGCAATACTAACTTTCAAAATTAATGGAGAAATAAGATATTTCTCTGACCAAAAAAAAAATGAAATTAATGAGCACCAAATCAATCTGCAAAGAGTAGGAAAATTATTCCAGAAAGAGATAAAAGTGACCACAATTGCAAGATCAACAACAGCAACAAACCACCAGGCAGGGGAAACAACTAAGCAGAGGAGAAAATCAGGAAAACCACAGCAGGAAAATACCAAAAGGTAACTGAAGACCTCACACCACAGAGATATGTGTGCACCCATGTTTATAGCAGTGCAATTCGTCATAGCTAAATCCTGTAAATAGCCCAGGTACCCATCAAATGAAGGATGGAAAAGAAGATGTGGGATTTAAACACAATGGAGTCTTAATCAGCATAAAACACAATAAATTTGAGTCTTTTCTCAGTAAATGGATTTAACTAGAAAACATACACTCACGTGAAATAAATCTGACCTGCATGTGCAAAAGTAGCATTGTCTCCTTAGCGTGAGAACCTGAAAGAGGAAAAATGGAATATGAAGGGTACAATAAATACTGGCAGAAAGGAACAAATTTATTCAAAAGGAAGGAGTTACTGAGTTGAAGAAAAGACAGGAGAGGGAGCAGGCAAAAGAGATTTATCTACATATGTAAGGGTTATGTGTTTGGACAGCTACACTGTGCATTTCTGCTAATCTATGCAAAGAGGCAGTTAATGCTTAAATTTGTTTCATCTCATTTTTTGAATTCTACTTTTTCACTTCTTAATTTCTTTTTTATCCATTTTATTGAGAAAAAATAAAATAGCAATGAAACATTTTCAAAACAGGATAGTAAAACAATGACAATAATTAATACATTGCATATTGTTGTCTTCATGTTAGTCATTTGGAAGAAAAGTTGCAGACATGATGTCTTTTCTAAACAATATTAGTACAAACCTTTCTTCTCAATGAGCTAAGAGAAATTAGCTGTATATCTATCCTATCATGTATACATATTATATATTTCTTTCTTCTTTCTTTTTCCAATTTTATATGCCTATATCTGGTAATATGAATAACTGGAAGACAACACTCTATAGTACAATTCCAGCAATGCTGTGAAATTCATATTACTTTGTTACATGAAATTCTGTGTCACTTGTAATTGTTTCTATTTTAACTCTAATTTTTGCTCTTTTATAAAAGTTTTTTTTAAAGATAAGCCAATACCTACCAGTTATAACCATCAATGTAAATGACCTCAATTCATCAATGAAAAGAAATAGACTTGCAAGGTGAATCAAAAAACCAGGTACAACATTATGCTTGATAAAAGAAACAAATTTAACTCAAATGAAGATCATAAGCTAAAAGTCAAAGGATTGAAAACAAACATCTTCCATACTACACAGAACCCAGTAAAAAGCAGGGGTAGCTATCCTATTTGCACATAATGTCAATTTTTTTTCAAAATTTTATTGATAAACCGATAGCAATGAGACAGTTTCAAATCAAATCGGTAGGACAGTTTCAATAACTAACACACTGCATATATTCTTCCTTGTGGTTAATTGCTGTACAAGATGCGGTCTTGAGATCCTATTTACAAACACCATTAGAACAAATCATTCTATTCATTAAGAGAATGTAACTATATATCTATCCTAACCACTTTGAATACACAGATACAAAATGGACATTCATCTGTATACCCCTTTTTTCTAAGTTCTGTTATTTGAATATTATAGGTGTGTAAACTCAGCAAAATATTCTAAAAGAGTCCAGTAGCCCATAATGGCATTGGGTCTTCTGTTTAACCAGCAATGTCAGAAATTATTGACCTGAGTCCCCCAGACCTCAACATAACAGCCTGGCTTTACTTCCTATATTTCGTCTTCATAATGTCAATTTAAAGAAAGGCTGATCAAAACATAGAAAGAACACTGCATACTAGAATAAAGGCCATACATCCATTGTTAGAAAATTACATATAATTTTCACTACAATATTGTACAAATAGGGAGCTATGAATAAATCACCAGTTAGAAAACTCTGAACACTTTTTGCTATTGAGTACAAACTGTATAACTTGAAGAGAAAATACCAAACTCAATTAACTCTTTTCGTAACAGATCGGTAGAAACCAAATTAAATTTGAAAAATTTTAAGAAAAAATATTATGAAAATATTATTTATTCAATACATTGAGAATAATTCATTGGTTGTTTCATTCATTACCCAAAACTTACAGGAAATACACGGTAAAAAATAGCAGAGAATGCAAAACACAAGCCATAATGCCGGGGACTTCCAAGTTATCACAAAGAAATATGATGATCTTGCACATTAGAATATTCTATGATGATGTAGAGACAGAAAAGAAAACAACAGAAATGAAATTTATAAAATGTATAATGACAATGTAAAGAAACTGTAGGATTTAGAGGAAAATGATAATAATATGGTAGTATTCTGAGGAATTTCAGCAATCCTGTCTGAAAGATGACACTTCTGCAATAGCAAGGATAAAATTTAATTAGCAAATATAGTTCAGTAGACACATACAGACAGCTATAGGTCAGGACTGAACAACACATATTGCAGGCAGGGATGCAGCAGTGGAGTAGAAGAACTGCATAGTGGGGGCTTCCCTGGGCTCTATTTGCATCAGAGCAGGAACAAAAGCGCACATCCTTCTCCATCACTCGGGGAGTGTGAACTATACGTGCACCTGACCTAATCTGCTCACCAAGCCTCAAGGATAGAACAATGAGAAATAGTACCTCTGTTTCAGTCTCTCAAATCACATATCAGGCAGTATTGCAAAATCTTCACTTTTTGCAAGACCATTTACCAGGTATTGGAAGGTGTGGAGCACAGGGATGGTTTAGCATAAGCCCTGTGACAGATATTAAACTTTGTATTGAAATTATCAATGTGTTTTTAAACAAAGGGATGTGTAAAATATATCATCTCTCACTGTCGTCTTCTCACACTTATTTGCCCTTCATTTCTGTTCCAAATGTCTTTGTCCTTTCAAGATTTCTGTCCTGACTAGCTCCGATGGAGACAGGAGCCTCTTGGGTTTCGATGGGGGCAGAGCCAACCACCTGCTGCTCCATCTTCATCACACAGATGTCCTCAGACTCTGCATGTCAGCACCAATCACACTCTTCCTCTACCATTATTGTTCCCAGTATTTTGTATTTCAACTTCATGTGGATATCACAACTATGAAGTACTTGCTAGTGTATTAATGTGTGAGATTATTTTAGTTTTTCACAGTAGAAAATGTATTAAAAACCTACCCTAAGCATTTCGTGCTTTCCTTTCGCTGCACTTCCCTTTATAGCTGAAATCATTTTCTCTCTATATATGGAGCTTAGTAAAGTCCTCTTAGACCTTGAGTTATGTAATTTTCTTAGTAAAAATTACAAAACCTTGTGGGCATCAGCTCTTGCAGAGATAGATTGCATTTTCTAAGTGTTTGTATTGACATAAGGTTTTATTTTAACTCAGAGCCCTGAGTAAAAATGTATCACAAGCTATAAGTCTAAGACATTATTTGTGTTTTGTCAGAAATTGTTCATGATAACAATTTTTATAAGAAACTATAAGAAATTGACTCAAGACTTATATATGGAAGTTGTGGTAATATGCCCTCCTACAAAAACATATGCGGCATATTCTCTTTGGTCTATTATGAAAGTATTACTCTTCTCCATGACAAATCCACAAACATAATGCAATTTAACACTAGTCAAATCCAACACATAACCCTAAAGCAAGCACACTCATGTTTAGGTTATGAAGGAGGAGAGAAACATAGCATTTAATTAATAAGTGATATTGTTCGGGGTTGAACAATATGTATGTATTGAGGATTTATCTCTAATAAGTACTTTGCTCTTTTTTCAGGCTTATGCCTAGCAATTTCCCAAATGTTCTGGCCTTCATTTTTGCCATTGAAGAGATCAACAGGAATCCTCATCTTTTACCAAACATTTCTCTGGGATATGAGTACCACAATTTACTATACAGCTACTGGAGGATATTAGAGAGTTTCCTCATTCTGTACCCAGGACAAAGTGGGACCCCCTAACATTGCTACAGAGACTAAGTCTATAGCATTGCTAACAGCATCACCATGGGCAATTTCTTCTCAAGTTGGACCATTTCTGGAACTCTACAGATTTCCACAGGTGAGGCTGGGTAAATAGGGAAAGATAAAACCATGTCACATTAGGTGGCAGTATCAGATGCAGTTTCAAAGAGGGTGAATGGATGGACTGTGTTTGTCTGTCACACAAAATGTACAGCCTCAAAGTGCAACCCACTGAGGTTTATTGGTTATCTACAGTTTCTTTATGTTCATTAGAAATGCTGGAGAGATAAAATGGAAGATTTCTTGAACTCTTTCTGCTCAGTTATTTGCTCATACAAGACCCTAGAATGTGAGATTATTAAATAGATGGGAATAATCATTTTCCCTTCTAGAATTCATTGATATGTCTGTATTTTAGCTGTTATTTTGAAACCTTTATGTCAAGTTTCTTTGCATAACTTCGGATTTTCCTTTCCTTGTAGCTTACCTTTGGCACTTTTGATCCTGCCTTCAGTGACAGTGGCCAGTTTCCTTCTCTCCAGTAGGTGGCCCCAAAGGATGCATCTCTGGCCCTAGCCATGGTCTCCTTGATTCTTCTTTTCAGCTGGGCCTGGGTGGGACTGGTCATCACTGAAGGTCAGAATGGTTTCTAGTTCCTCTCAGATATGAGGAGGGAGACAGACAGGAATGGAGTCTGTATAGCATTTGTAACACTGATCTCAAATGCTCTTGTATCTTACATCCCAATTACAGAGCTGAAAAATTTCCTGACTAGAGAAATATCACCAGAAAATGTGGCAATCATTTATTATGACACTGATAGTCTGAATCATATAAACCATCTGATAGGGCTCCAATTAGTGACATGGAGAATCTGGGTCACTAACACACAGTGGCATGCAGACCTGGCAGGCAGAAATTTCATTCTGGACTCTTTCCATGGGATCCTCATTTTTTCACACCACCATAAGGAGAATTCTGGTTTTAATCAGTTTCTCTGAACAGCAACCCCCTTCAAATATCCAGAAGACACTTTCCTCACTCGGTACTGGTTCCAGAATTTCCACTGCTCGTTCTCTGCCTCTGACTGTTCCCTGAAGGACTGCACCCCCAATGCCTCCCTGGAATCACTGCCTTTGAATCATTTTGACACAGCCATGAGTGTTGGGAGTTTCAACACTTACAATGCTGTGTATGTGGCAGCCCACGCGCTCCAGGAGATGCTTCATGAACATACTCAAATGTAGCTCACAGAAAGTGGGGACAATATGGTGTTCCCTCCCTGGCAGGGAATGTCATTTTTATTGTGAGTCATGTCCTGTTCTCAAAGTCATCTTGTAGGGCTTTCCACAAGTGTAAAAACCAATAAAGAAAAATCTTTCAGAAAAGTGCAAAAGATTCTGTATCAATTGCATTGTTGAACTAAATTTTGGCACGGAATTGTATCACTATCATTGCATTAGCTCTGAAGGATGCCAATACTTTACAAAAGAAAGAAATAGAAACTTTTCCCAATGAAATATTAGAAAAGAAAATGGGATATCATGTGTCTGTTAAACACTACAGTGCTATTTTATTGAAGATTGACATTATCTTCCTCAAAATTCTTGTATTATAAAGTCACTTTGAAGGCAGTTATTGTGAGCAAAGTAAAAAAAATATGGGGTGGGAATATTTGGAATCCCTGTACACCATATATTTACATGGATCTGGTTGAAACATCTTTTGAAACTGAAGTTGTAGAAATACTATGATATTTTATCTTACTGTTCCTCTTTTGAAGTTAGGTAAATAGTCTATTAAGAAACAAAGAATAAAGAAATTCAGAGACTGCTCCCCATATAAGTTTTCTTTCCTAATATTGGGGCCCACAAAATCAAAAGACCCAATCAGTGTCCAATTCATCACAGGATTATACTTCCTTTTCAGCTACACCCCTTTCTGAAGGACCTCCAGGTTAACACACCTGCTGGAGAATAAGTCAATTTATACAAGAATAGTAAAGTGGACGCAAAGTACAATATTCTCAACTTTTGGAATTTTCCCGAAGGCCTGAGACTTAGGGTGAAAGTTGGAGAGTTTTCCCTGCATGTGCCACCTGGGGAACAGTTGGCCTTGTCTCAGGAGATGATAGAGTGGGCCATTGGAAGCACAGAGGTATGCTGCCAGCAAACCTAATTCAATTCATTAACAAAAATAATACAAATTTTGCTGTATATTTTCTTCCATGCCCGCGATCAGGAATGGTCACATGTGGAAATTAAACAGTTCAATTTTAAAATTGAAAGAATTTCCTATGAATCTTCTGATGGACTTTTTTTTCTTTTCTTTCTTTCTTTCTTTTTTTTTTTTTTTTTTGTGGAACCAGGAATTGAACTCAGACTCTTGACCTTGCCAGGGAAGTGCTTATCCTACTGAGTCATCTCCCCAACAATCCCCCTGGACCCTTTTCTGAAGGATTTTGATCATTGTTTCAAGAAGTGGATTTTTCAACCAGACTTTTTCAATATATTTTAGCCATTAAATAAATATGGCAGTGCACAAGTATTTGGAGTTATACATTAATACAAAATGTTTTTTCCTCTGCTTGTGAAAGGTGAAGTCACCAGCACAAATCTGCTTGTGTTCAGACTCCCCGCTCAGCTTGCAGTGAAAGCTGCACCCCTGGGTTCAGGAAGTCCCCTCAGGAAGGAAAGGCTGCCAGTTGTTTTGACTGCACCCCTTGCTCTAGGAATGAGATTGCTAATGACACAAGTAAGAGTAACTCCTCTGGAGCAGTTGTCTAACTCTCACTTGTCTCTAATCAATCTAAGAGTAAAATCTTGAAAAGAAAAACAAAGGCAAATTCTTTCTTCCCTCATTTAGCAATTTAACTCTGTAGCAATATATTGGGATAAATGATTCCATGTCCTGAACTGCATTTGAGTATGTTTTAAATGTCCTTTTGCTTTGCAGGGTGTGGGATGCAGACATGCTCTACACTGTGCTGTATTCTCAGCCATTTGCATACTGTTACTTTTAGAAAGGTTCTCTGTAAATTGCCTAGGCTGACCTAAAACTCATGGTCCTCCTACTTGAGAGCATAGGCATGTGACACCACACCTGGATTCTATGATTGATTTTTTTCTACATTCACTGAGAGCATTATGTTCCCAACTAATTATGGTGCATGCCTACCATCCTACTATTCTCAGAGGCTAAATCACAATGACTTTGATCCAGAGGCAGGTAGCTTTGTGGAAGATCCAGTGAATAGCTGGATGAACATGGATCATAATGTTTCAGAAGCCTGCTTCTCCTTTGGAAAGTACTTGCAAGTAGGATCAACTAAATATTTGACGGTAATTTAGAAAGACAGTGCCAAGTGAAAATTTTCAGTACTGCCTCAAAAAGTAGAAAGATAGGGCCCAAGAGATAGCTCATTGGCATAAGCACCTGCCCATCCGGTGCAAGGTCCCCAGTATGAGCACTGACTCAGCAAAGAAAAAAAAAGGAAGTACAAAAATGACAAGTTGTGCTGCTGTAGGTACTGATACAACTGTATCCCTGTAGCGTGATATATTCAGCTCTTAGGGGAGCATACCTCACAGGGGACATATGCATCATATGGAACTATTGATTTCAGTTATTTGAGAAATCTGCATGCTGATTTCTCTAATGGTTGTTTTAGTTTCCATTCCCACCAACAATGAAAGAGAATTCCTTTTCACCACAGCTTCACCAGCATTTGTTATTGTTTGATTTGATAATGACTGCCATTCTTTCTGGAATAAGGTAGAATATCAGTGTTGTTTTCATTTGCATTTCTCTGATGGCCAGAGATGTAGAACCTTTTTTGTTATATTTATTTATTTTTTTATTAATCTATTGAGAAACAAATAGCAATGCGACAGTTTCAAAACGAGTTAGTAGCACAATTTCAAAAATTAATACATTGCATATTGCTATCTTCCTAGTGGTTATTCATAGTACAAGATGCAGACATGACATTCTGTCCAAACACTATTAGTACAAATCATTCTTCTCATTGAATTAAGAGAAAGTAGCTATATATCTATCCTATTTTATATATACAGATACAAAATGGTCCTTCATTAAATCCAACTTTTTGTTTAGTTTTGTCAGAGATGGGTATTCCATTGCCATTTAAATATTGTAGGTGCATGAATTCAGGATAATAATCCAATACAGTCCATTAGTCCATAATAGAAATGGGATACCCATAGGACTGGTAATGTCAGAAGTTGTTGACTTGAACCTTTTACAACTCAGCATACTAATACAGCTTTACATTTTATACCTCATTTTTATACTTTTATGCTGGATGGTTAAGATCAAGATAAAGCAAGACCTATATAACAAGAAATATAACTTTTGTAACTGGCAAGGTCAGTCAAATCCCCTCAGGATTTACCTTGAAACCCTGTACCGCAGTTTGTAGATCCTCTGTTAGTGTCAGCCATGTGGATGAGTCATGGCCATTGCTTGAACAATTTGCTCTCTATGAAAGCCTGAGAGAATGTTTTCTTTCCCTATAACTCTCCTTAGGCACACTCGACATCATCAATCACTTTCCTTTGTGACCCTATAATCTCCTTGATCAGAAAATTTGGGACATAACTGAACTATAGGCTGTTACAGCACAGCTTCTCCGATGTCCTGAATCCTCACTGAACTTAAAAGTCTAGGGCCAAAATGTTGGCTGTCCTCACAGCCCTTCTTTTTCTCTAATTTTTGATCTGAAAGCTGAAGTTGTTAACCCTCCAAAAGAGAAGCTTAATGATATTATTACCCTATAACATAGGCAGTTGACCTTAACTTCACTGCCTTAATATCAAACATCTTAGACATAGTGTGGAGCAGGTATTTTCCATCAAGTATTGATACGTTAAACTTTAAGTCCCTACAGAATGTGAAGAAAAAACTATTTTAAAAAGTGGGAATAAACAATTATATGTTTTTACACAGAAATTTAGAAATCTGACAATATACAGCACTGTAGCAGGACAGTTCTATGACTTGTTTTTCTTGTTTCTTGTTTTTATTTATTACCTTTTTTAAAAACAACCATTTATGTTAGAGACAGTATAGCAGTAATTGATATTACATGACAAGTAGTACGTATTTAGAACACCAGAATGACAGGCACTTCAAGACTGGCAGAAGTATTACACATTGCTATCTTCAATGAAGTTGCTTAGTTCATAGGTATCAGCATATATAGTCAGGGTAAGAACCCTACCAATTAACTTCTAGTTTCAAAAATCTGCTGAAGATTCTCCGGATCATTGCCTTATCACATGTTTATTGACTGTATTTAATTTAAGTTGATTAAGCTTCTGTGTAAATATGT